CAGAAATAGGAAAAAAGTCGTATTTTCGATAAAAAATATTTTGAAAGTTTGTTTTTGAATCTCAATGAAAATATTTTCTAAAACTATCTCTCAGACTTTTAATGTGACACTTCATGTTTAGTTATAATCTTTCAATTCATTCAAACTTGAAAATTGTATCTTGGTGACGAAACTATTTATCTGTTATCATGGTTTGTGTTACACAAACCTTTGAAATACAGTGACGCATTTACAGATAAACATGAGTAATGTTAGCTTTCTATCTTGCATAATAAAAGGGCTCTTTTTTCTTTGTCGTGTTTAGAATCAAAAATGACTCTTCTGACAAGCGAAAACAACGAAAAGGTAGTTAATATTGGCAGTCTTGGACGCTTTATGGTAGTAGAGAAGAATGATGGAAAATGCAACATGAAATGGCTGGTTGGTATACAAATCTGTACTATTGTTCTAATTCTATTGATGATTGGAGCATTTTGTTTTGTTGCTTATCCAATAACTAAAGAAGTTCACATTCTTAAAAATATTACGCACAACTTTCAACAAAAAGAAAACATTGTGACCTTATATGCTCTGGACCCACTAGCTCGCACGTTCTGCTTCGATGACGGGAGATATGGCCAAATTATTTCAAACTGGAGCATTTACAACAGACGCACTGATATTGACTTCAACACTTATCATAATGGCAGCTTTAGTGTCGGTATAGAAGGTGCTGAAGTTGGCACAATTATCGATCTGGGTTCTAGCGAAGATCTTCAGAAAAAGTACAAGTATCAGGATACAGTGGGAAACGGTCAAGGATTTGCATCAATCCACCGAAAAAACAAAATACTCCTGATTCTTAAGGGTGTCTCATATAGCAACAATTTTCAACGAATGGAAGAATCCGACGAGCTGTTCGGAGAAGGAAAATCAACAGCAAGTGCCTCTGTTAATCTTGGACATATGTATGTCCTCCGAATTACTGACTCCTATAATTCTGCTTTCGAGCGCATCGTCAAAATGTTAGTGATCGCGTACAAAACTAACGAATGGGTTACGATTCGATGGGAAGTGTTAGTATAGTTATATGAATACCAGTACTGTTGATTAACATAACATACCTAACGTAGCATCATTAACGCTCGTGGAGTCTGAGATTCCCAGGTTCAATAAATCGTAATGCTTAATTTCAATCAATAAAGACATTGTAATTTTAAAAAATTAAAAATAAAAGTCTATAAATCTAAACTATTTGTTTGTCTTTCATTCAAGATGAGAAACTTAGAGTGGAAAGTCAATGAAAGTTATATTGGTCCAATGTGAAAGCCTATGAAACGAAATGGAGGATGTCCAATCGATTAAGATTGTGCACTGAAGGAAGACAGTCTTACTGCTACAAGTTAGCCTAAGTTGATAGTAATCGTCCGTGAGCTATTGGATCTAAAGGAAACAACAAAGTTTTAAAATGTCCTTCAGACACACATTACCACGATGACAATGCCATTCACAAAATGAACATGTTCATGGCTTGCGATAGACTGGCAATATCCTGGAGTTTGCTGATATCACACGTCATTTTTTGTATCCAGTATTTTTGCTTCGCTCTCTGCCGATAATCGAGCAATCGTATTATACAAATCATGATAGTTCCAATATAGTTTTGCCAATAATTTTTCATCATATTCATTCTCATCGGTAAGTTTTAAAATCTCGTCGAAATACGGCAATGGATATATGAAATTTAATTTCTCACTCATATCGATCAGTGTTTTTGCTATGAAGTAATAGTCACAATGCTGACATGAATATGGTATACTATGACAATTTCAATCAATCTTTTGCATGCACGTAAGATATCATCGATAGTAATTAGTTTTGGTGAAATGACAGCAATTCGACGAATAATATTTAAAGAAAATGAATTGATCGGTTAATTAGCCTAGCAACCGGCTGAATCGAGCAATTTGAAAGCATGTTCCATTCCAATTATTCCTGCCTTTTGGTCCGGTAGAGGATAAGATATCATAGCATGCAGTTATATTAGATACAACCATCCAGGAGGATCGTCGACTCATTGAGTGCCGCGTAATCGATTGTTCAAAACGAAAAAGAAACATTGATGAGTATATGACATTGATGTTTCTTTTTGTTGAATAGTTATGATCTGAAGGTGAGCAGAGGATCTCCGTCTTGCAGGGACATGCCCGAAAGGAATGATCAGTTTTCGAAATTTAAAGTTTTGGTGGCTATGATTTATTGCTACTGTTGGCAATCGGAGTTGATCAGATTTCAAAACTATCAATGTTCCTATCCATTGACTTTCATCAATATACATATCAGAATATTTGCGTAAAGTAAAACAAGGATGTAGGATATGGTTGCGAGAGATAAGAATATCCACAACCACCCTACGTGTGTAGATCAGAATTTTTTGTAGAAGAAATATAATTTGTAGACTTTCTTCTTTTATTTTCATATAAACCTACGAGTTAAGGTCAGCAATAGAATCGATCTCGATTTTTCACAACTGGTACCAACACCTATTTGAAAAGACCAAACTGGACCGAACCGATCGTCGATACATCACTCGATCTGAAGTCCATACCGTCACTGGACTCACGAGTGATCGTGCTATTCTTAGATAGTGATATTTGACATCGTCAAAAGAAGACCAGTCAGTCTGAAATCGGTACCGGTGCTGGCTTAATTTCTGATCAGAGTAACAAAAATTCTGATCTTCAATAGATACCAAACATTAATACATTTCACATTAGTTATATTATTAAATATAAATGAACAATAATATCGAGTAGTATGTTACTATTTGCATTTAATCATTTGGAACAATCTTATAGAAAAATACTGAATTTAAACAATTTACTTCAAAGTCTGAAAACTTGTTTCTAATTAAAATTAATTAAGAAATAAAAAAACTTTCTGAAATCTCATGATAAAAACTAAATTGAATATTTGAAAACCTTGATTGGATTAATATTTCTATTTTTTCAATTTCTCTACTAGTTGAAAAGATTACAATTCAAGTCTAATGAAGGAAATAGAAAGATTGCATGATAACTAGATGATCACAAACAATTTATAGGCTTGCTGTTTTCTTCCAAAAAACACAGCATATCAACGAGAATATTCAAAGTTCGCTCATTATTTTTTAATTAACAGGACATCATTTTCTATAGCTGTGTCGCAATCAAATGAAATTCATTGGCTAAGAGCCAGTTACGTACTCAACGAAGCTATTAGACAGACCTGGTTATCTGAATGTCGAATATACCAAGACTGTTTCAAATCGCTTTTGATTTTGATATTAATCTCTGTCGCATCATCGATACCATTATCAATAGTAGCTATTTTTCATCTTTTTTTTTGACTATAAATGCATGTGTATTTTTCCGACATATATTTGCCATTTTCTGCTACTTATTTTAAGTTTCACAACAGTGGTGTTGATGATATTGATTCTATCATAGAAATCTTCGAAATCTGTAAAATCTTAGAATCAATAAACGAAGAAACATGATCAAAAAAGAATCAAAGCAAAAAAAGAGAGAAGTCTGTTTATTTTGTTATTTATTAATTATAAAACTTAAACTTCACTTTGTAAACTCTTGTTATTTTTATTATTGCACATTTCATATCTTATGAAAGATAAATTTCTTCTACATTCTCAATTTACCAGATATACATAACAATAATAATTTTCTTATGACTAATAATATGATTATAACAAAATTATTGCTAGAATTCAGATTAATATTTCCAGTAAGGACTGAAGATTAGTTTTCTCATTTGATATTTTGAAAACAACTTGACTTTTCTCTTTGGTCAGTTTTTTTTTCTAAGCACACGTATATGAATATGAAGAACGGTGAAAGTTAAGTAAATTGTCTCTCCATCATTAGAGATCCATACTGGACAAAAAAGTCTAAGCTATGTAACTGAAAAATACTCCGGTTCTTATTTGAGTAGAATTTCTTTGAGTTCAAAAGAATAAGTAGTTATAGGCGATAAAGAATAATTCATTGAGTTTTTTTCTTTTTTACATATTCTAACCACTAGTATAATACATTATTACATTAAACGGAAACATGAACAAGATAACGCTTTGTAATAATAAAATGATGATATAAAGTTAAAGTTACCTGAAATCATAGTGATGTCGGAAGAAAATATTTTATATGCCACGTATTTTACTAATTTTCATCGCTCAATTATTGCTTATCTCAATGTTAATATTTTAATATTACTAAAAAACTACTCCAACTGATACCCACCGTTTCAGCTCATATTAGGTTCACCAGGAGGTCTCCGTAGGATAAGAAAATTCCTAAAACGGTTTGTACCTATGGACTCTGGAGACGATTTTTGATCATTTAACTGAATTTTTGATCCAACTTGGAATATTTACTGAGAAATTTAAGTAACGGAATTTCAGCCTGAAAATTTGTTCATAGATAGATCTGCTGATATCCTGGAAGTTTCAGCTGAAAAGAATGCTCTTCTACCGAAGTGTTGAATTTTCCAAAAAAATGTTCGTTTGTCACAGATAAAATCCAGTTTATTTCAAAATTCAACATCTTGACAAAGGAACCTTCTTTTCGGTTGAAACTTTCAGGATAACATCACAATCAGTAAATCTATATAAGGACGAAATTTTAAGTCAAAAGTTCATTATTTGATTTTTCGGTAAATTTCTCAACCTGGACCGAAAATTCAGTTCAATGATTAAAACTCGGCTCCAGAGGCCCATGGTCATGAACTCTTTTAGGATCTTTCTAGTCCTACTAAGACATCCCTGTGAACTCAATATGAGCCCAAATAATATGTATCAGTTCAGGTAGTTTCCACACGTTAGTTATTTTCACTACCAAAGTTTGAAAGTTATACATGATTATTTGTATTTTTGATGAAATGAAATGAGATCATATTTCGGAACAGTTTTTGTTCTTGGCATAAAACCATTAGGTTTCTTTAAAAATGAATAGCAATTTCATGACTGATATTCAAAGTAATTGTTCTGAAGACAAAAGTCGAACAGAATCTTCAACATCATATAAATAAAAAAGTAATTGCCAAGGAAGTGGACACTTTGTAACATCAACATTCATTTCTCGTCTATATTTCGTTCGTTCATTGAAATAACCTATCTTTTGATTATCACAGTCGAGCAAAAATTCGATTTCAAATGTCGTTTCACCTTGCATATCATGAAGATCGTTATTGAATGGCAATTTATCACCGCCACAACGAGCTATATCATTGGTATACCAACCATAAATTGATTCTTTTACTTGGAATTCTTTTTTGAGTACGGACGCAGATTTTGAGACAATATTAAACGCCATAAAATATCTTGAATTTTTCTTATTCATAATAAATCGAATTTTGTATTTGCCCGATGAATATTTCTGAACTCCACACACAAATGCATCATCTGCATCGAGTCCATGATAAGCCAAGTGACCATTCTCTGCAATGCAAACAGTACCAAAAGATTCCCCAAATCTTTCATCTTTTTCTAAATGTTGTGGCACAATTGAAGAAACAAATATTTTAGACACAAGTAGTTTTGTTGGATCTTCACTAATAATCGTCGAAGAAGAAACATTAGTAAAATCATGTTTAAGTTTTTCTAACATATCTGTCCACATACGAAGATCAGTTTCAATAAAATCATCATCTACTCGAGCTTTTCGTAATTGTTCAGTGAGATCATGCATTTCTTTTTATATGATTTCTAAAAATAAAAAACAATATTTAACAAAAAAAAATTCTTTAAAACAACTGTATTTACTTTTTTGTGAACCGATTAATATTTCTATTTGTTGTCGTGCTTCATTTGCTGTTTGTTGAATTTTCTTTATAGAGTTTTGTTCCCATTTGTCAATTTGCTCGAGAAGAGAATGATGATTATTTTCTTTGTTTTTCTGCTCCACAATCATTTGTTGCAGAGTATCATGTTCAAGAACAATTCCATCTAATTGGTGACTAAGAAGATCTCGATGTTCGAGAACATGTGGTCGACAAAATATTTGTGAACAGCCTTCACATTTTAAAATTCTGACACTCTTACAACCATGTGAAGTGCAAGGTGTTTTTGACGATGATGGAGATGCCATAAAAAACAATTCATTTTAGTCGTAAATGGTAAAAAAATGATTCAGAAGTATTTTTTTTCTTTTAATTGCGAAAACTGAATGTCAATAAAAGAACAAAAACAAATCTGTCTGGCCAAAATACGCGTGGTAATTTCTTTTTACTCCTCTGGCGATAACCATCTTACACTTAAAAACATTTCTTTGAAATCGTCTGTTTTTTTTTCCTTTGCTGTGGACAGTCTCAAATAATAACTATGATACTTTAAAAAAGTTACTTTTTTAAGAATAAATATTTCAATGTCAACAAATGTTTTTTTTTTCTTCAATACAATTTAAGGCGCACTAATTTGACAGAAATATGTATATCTTTCTTTCTTTTTTTTGAATAAATCGAACATGATAAAAACTAAATAAAATGAATATTTTAAGCTTATTAACATAATGATATGTGACAGTAATATTTATAATTTAAATCAAAATGATGTTGAAGTTGTTGTATTTAGTAGTTTCTATGTCTACTGCGTATTATAAAAGAATTTCTTGTTATGATTTTTTCGTTGTTAAAATCATCGAACAAATATTAGTAAGAATTTTTCGGTTTTAAAATAAGCGACTTATATATTTTTATTCAAAATGATCTTGCTTTTTTTATGACATATGTGTTAATTAATAATAATGAATGTTAGTTCTATCGATTGAAATCGATTCTAACACAATATATATACAGTTGGTCAAAAAAGTATCCGACCACCCCGTTTTTGTCTGTTACAAAGACTTTATTCAAATTAACCCTTTAGAAAAATGGATTCTTATCAAATTTTCAGACGATAGAGAACTTTGTTCGATCTATCCGATGAAGGTATTTTGGGACAAAAAACAGCATGTTTTGGCATTGAAAGTTAATTTTTTTCGAAGAATCATGAAATTCTCACGAAAGATAATCCTCTGTAAAATTTGGTGACCGACTCGAAGGGTATATAGCAAACTGGATGTTTATCAAGGCTTGAGTCATTAAGAGATTAAATACTCGTTGCCAGATACATAATAAGTAAATGTATATAAGCATCTCACATCATGCTCAGTGTTTATCACTTTCTTGGGTAAGAACACTGTAATAAAAACAATTCTCTTTTCACTGGTAGATAGTCAGATGTGTCCTGTATTAACAGAATAAAAAGACCAAGCTCAAATATTCTATCTAGAATTATTGACCGATTTCTTCAATGTCATCAACAGATTTTCATGCATCCACACAACTATTCACTACGGATTGAACTTTTTTTGCATATTAATATCTTATTGTGAACTTCATAATATATTCTTCACTATATAAATTCACTCTCTTTAGCGAGAGAAAGAATCCTATCTTGTCCTTTTTCTCTTTTTGTGCCATGTGATGAATGCCACTCTTATTCTTATGCAGAGATCCTCATGTTAGAAAGAGTTCGATCAACTGTAATAATCAAATTAATACTTTGTAGAACCTTCACATTTCTCGATCACCGCCTTGATTCGAGCTGCCATCGATCTAACAAGGATCTTGCAGAAATCAGGAGAAATTGTCAACCATTCCTGCTGAAGTATATCCCATAGTTGGTTTTTATCGGATGGATGATGATTTTTCATCTTCTACTTCATCAGGCTCCAAATATGTTCCATAGGATTGAGATCAGGTGACTGGACCACCCAATTCAATTTCTTGACTTTGTTCTCGACAAACCAACCTTTCACAATTTTTGCAGTGTGTTTCTGGTCGCGATCGTGTTGGAAAACAAAATTTTTAATTTTGATACTGATTGCTTAACATTGTTCTTCAGTATCTCAAGGTACTGTGTAAACACAAAGTGAAATTAGAACTAAAATCGTTTGATCAAAAGTAATTCACCCCATCTCCCGACATAATTTCATCAATTTTTACTAGATTTCCGACCCCTTTTGCTGAAAAACACCCCCAAACAAGTATCGATCCACCACTATGTGTCATTGTCGGAGTCAAACATTCTTCGTTAAAGGCCTCACCAGGTCGTCTCCACATATATTGGCGACCATCAGAATTGAAAAGACAAAACTTTTTCTCGTTGCTTCAAATCACGTTGTCCCAATATGAATCTTTAACCTATTTTCGTTCACGTGCCCAACGAAGACGCTTGACCTTATTCTGACGTCGTAGAAATGGCTTTTTCTGAGCTGTTCTTCCATACAGCCCCAACTCGTGAAGACGGTTTTGAATTATGTGGGATGCAACAGTGATACCAAATTGATTCTTTACCTAGCTGACTATCTAGTTCGAAGATATGCGACTACAAGAGACGGCTCTTCGTTGAATAATTCGATCTTAGCGGGACGACGTAACACGCGGGCGTCCGGCCCGTTGTAAATCCTTCACATCACTTGTTCGGCGATACTTCCAAATGATGTCATGGATTGTGGTTTTGGGCAATTTCAATATTTGACTAATTTGACGTTCAGATTGATGTTCTTTATAGTGTGAGATGACCAGTTCGCGCATGTCAAGACTTCATTCGCGAACCTTCACCATATTTTTATGAATGATAGATAACTCCTCCAATGATAGAAAGATGAATACATACGCTGTATTTTAGCAATGTACTCTCCTATATTCACAAGTACACGTGGCATAAAAAGAGAAAAAAGGACAAAATAGGATTCTTTCTCTCGCTAAAGAGAGTGAATTTATATAGTGAAGAATATATTATGAAGTTCACAATAAGATATTAATATGCAAAAAAAGTTCAATCCGTAGTGAATAGTTGTGTGGATGCNACATTGAAGAAATCGGTCAATAATTCTAGATAGAATATTTGAGCTTGGTCTTTTTATTCTATTAATACAGGACACATCTGACTATCTACCAGTGAAAAGAGAATTGTTTTTATTAGTGTTCTTACCCAAGAAAGTGATAAACACTAAGCATGATGTGAGATGCTTATATACATTTACTTATTATGTATCTGGCAACGAGTATTTAACCTCTTAATGACTCAAGCCTTGATAAACATGCAGTTTGCTATATACCATTCGATGCGCCGTGAGCTGCTCTACAAAACTGTATATGTGGCTTTCTAATTGGAGTCGGTCACCAAATTTAGCAGAGGATTATCTTTCGTGAGAATTTCATGAATCTTTCTAAAGGGTTAATTTGAATAAAGTCTTTGTAACAGACAAAAACGGGGTGGTCGGATACTTTTTTGACCAACTGTATATTATTTTGAACGAAAAAACATTTCGAGCTAGTGTAGCTCAGTGGTGTATGTGAACGACTTCTGATCATTGATTCATCTGTTCAAATCTGATCGTCATCGTTTAAGGTAAAATTCAATCCATCTAGCCAGGTTAGGCTAAGATCATCGATAAATGTTGACGATGGCAACTCAGTTCGAATCTGAAATGGATTATGATATATTTTTCAAAATTTTTATATTTTATATGAAACGCGTTCAGACGCATTTTTATGCCGCAAATGTTTCATCCACTGCACGTTTGTTCTTCGCGTTTTGCACGCATATTGAACGCGTTTTGAGGAAAAAATATTTACATAGATAGTAACATAATAGCTGTCCTCTGTTCACTATTTTTGCTTGAGGGTGCCTTATAAGCGAATTAAGAATATAGCTTTTTTCAGATTTTTCCGCTTATTTCATCAGAAATAACTTCGACAAGCGGTTAAACTTAGGTATGACATACAGTATATAACATTCAGTCTACATTCTAAACAAATATTAGTAATTTTCTTTGAGTTCTTCGAATTAGAATATGTTCATAAACGATTCTCTATTTCAATTAGAGCATAATTACTGATGAACATTCTTAGAAAAAATTAATAAAATAAAATATCATTTAGAAGAATTCTAACAAACAAGAAATAGCAACTTAAATTATCAATTTCAAACAATAACAATGTTTGTTTCCTTTTATCGAAACGCCTAACATGATAGACATAACACTATCCTTAGATGTCTTTAGTTTTGAATTTGAATAATAAAACGAAATGAATAGAAGAGAATTACAAACATGTTTTTTTTGGTTGTTCAAAAGCAACCATCAAAATTGGAATTCTTATTTCTGAATACGTATCATCAGCAGAGACGGGCACCGCGTGTGCGGTGACGGAGAGCGGAGCGGAGGTGGCCACGCCGCGCTCTAATGTCAAATTTGACCTAAATTTTGGCGGCCGCGTCTAGACCATATTAACTGCTTAAATTTTTTTAAGTCGAATCTCGAAAAGCAAAATCTGTTCTAATGTCTTCGGGCGATATCTGTATAGTTTTGCTGTTAAATTGAAAGTAAAAAAACAACGTGGAATCGACAATATAATTATTCTTAAGAGAAAACTAAATTTCATTAAATTCTACTCCTAATAGTTTTTAACTATCGGAACATCTTAGTTTTAGAGCATACTTTATAGAAAAGTTTACTTATCATACAAGCAAACCAATTTTTCTACGCAAACTGTGGTAATCGACACTTTGTTTTACTTTTTTTTCGACATTGAGGATAAATCAAAGTTGTTACCGGTCCACTCGCACCAGATCGGTTGAAATGATTGGATCGACTGGTGTCTACCGGTTATTGCCAGTTTAAAGAAACTTTTTGGTCAAAAAACTCACCTGTAGCCCCCTTCAGGGTTGAGTTAAAAAATGAATTTCGCAATTTTCTTGATATTTAATTTATCTTAATAAAGTATATCGAGAGTAAATTTAAGTTCTTTGATCAAAACGATTGTATTGTTTCAAAGATTATCAGTTTTATTTTCTTTTGCTTATCTACATCTTTTAAATTTTTTTGATCGCAGTTTATTTGATCTCGTGAAAAGTACAATCAAAACTGTGCTTTTAGGAGAAACTTCTCATCTCAACACGTTGATATTTTTTCTGAAGACTAAATTTAAGTTTGGACTGCCGTTCGAAGAGAAATCTTAGGTTTTTCTGTGAACTTTAGTGAAAAAATCCCAAATCTGCAGATTAGCAATCAGCTACCAGGTAGATGACCGTTTTTTTTTCGCACGAGCCACATAACATATTTGTCGTTTAGGAAACCTTAAGGGTGCAAACGACCGTAACATGATATTTCCGCCTGAAAATTTGTAAAAAATATAAACAAAAAACCGGAAAACGGTTGATTTTTGAAGTTTCTTCTATTATCAATAGTGGATGACCTAACAAACCGACCAGTTCTTGTCGGTTTTTATGGGTCTGAAAACTTTTTTTGAATCGGATACACACCGAGGGACCGGACCGGTTTGATAACTCTCCGCCGATTAGAACTGTGGAGTAAATATTTTGTAAACAAATCTACCGGCAATTTAAAAAATGAAACTCGAACGCTGAAAAGTAAAGTGAAAGAATCGAATTAATAGACTCATTCTTTATGAGATATCGTTAATTTTATCACTTAATCTTGATAATCATTTAAAACATGTATTAATTAAATCGTAATCCATGCTCATTAAAAATTAATGTGATCTCAAGTCTATCTATCTCAAAATTTAATAAATCTTAGCGAAATAACCATAAGATTTAAACTAATCCTGAACTTGAATTTATCCTAATTTAGGTGTAGAATAAATTGATACGAAAACCGATGACATATCAGCGTGTGTATGTCTAGTTGAAGTTTGTTAAAATAAGTATACTTTATGGCCTATCGAGTGTGTGGCTTCGTTCATAGGTAATTGTGAAGAAATGAGGCACTGTTTATTAAGAAATATTAGTGCAATAAGTCTATATAAAAGATCGAAAATAAAATTCCCCAGGTGCCATAAGGCGGCCGCTCCGCGCCTTGTGAAATAAGAGGCGCGGCGCGGCTGCGCCGCCGCTCAAAAACGCTTTGGAGCGGTGATCGCCTCCGCCGCTGCATGAAGGTTTACATCATCTTCCGCGCCGGCCCCGCCTCGTTCTTAGGCGCGGTGCACGTCTCTGATCACCAGCTATATTTAATACAACAGAGTTCATTTTTTTGTCTATTCCTGTTCGAATTATTCTACATAGATGAACGAACAAATAGAATTCATATATTTATAAGCAAACTCGACTAAATTTAAACGTTACAACCATTACAATAATATAACAATTGAACATTGTCACTGTGGACAGCAGAAAAGTATATTTAGAAAATAAATAGAATTGAGATGCAACTGTATATGTATATACATAATGAACATTTTTCTAACTGTTCAGAAAATTGTCAACAAGAATGAGTGTGGATAATTCATTTGTTAGTATTGTTGATCTACCTAATGAAATGTTGCTTAATATTTTCAATAAACTTAATAATTTTGATGTTTTATATTCACTGGTCGGAGTCAATAAAAAACTTGATAATGTTGCATGTGATAGAACATTTACTCAATTTATTGGTTTAACAACCATATCATCAAGTGAAAAGGATGATTCAAAAACTAATGCAACACTTGATCGATTTTGTTTGCACATATTACCTCGAATTCATAATAATGTTGAATGTCTTACTGTTGATGCATGCTTCTTGGAACGTATTCTACATAGTAACAAATATTTTAACTTACACAGAATCACTCTGATCAATCTTGATGTGAATAGGACTTCTCATATTTTTAATGGTATAGTACTTGATTTATTTACATTGAAGAAGTAAAGAAAACATTTGGTTTGTGTTTTGTTCTATGTTTTTAGAAAAGTGTCAATTTATTCTCAACTTTAGATACCAAATTTCCGAATTGGTTATAACGATTGATTATGAAGTTTCAAGTATATCAATGTTGATTTTACTCATTGATATTTATCATCGTATTTTTGTCTTATTATCAAATCTAAAGTATTTGGACTTGGATGTTAATAATACTTACCTTTTTTCTAAATCATTATTGAGTGGTTTATCTTCTACTACATGTGTTTCGTCGAGTATTACTCATTTACGTATCAAATTGCACAATTTTGACGATTGTCTTTGTCTACTTGATGGTCGTTTTAATCAATTACATACATTCATTGTCAAACTTGAATATATACATGATCCATCATTACTTAGACGTACTCCATCAGAAATCATACATAATTCGTCGATATTATTAAATAATACGGTAAAAAAATATAACACTAGAACTTTTTCATTCCAAGCTCTACTGAAAATCATTAAATTAATAATATTCAGAAATAATTCTCTAAATTATGTCCTATATGTAAAAAAAGAAAGTAGAAATAGTTTATCAATTGAAACTTCCAAACCAAGAGGAGGAATAAATTTATTTATGAAGTCAACGAAAACATATATTCGTACTCTTTGATTTGGTTTTGTAATGTTATATTAGACAGAAATAGGTTAAATATTCCATTAATATAGTCATTTATTAATTTATTTTGTTTTCAAACAAAGAAATAATGTAATATTACTTTTTATTTTTTATGCTTTTTTTTATAGAAAAATTTCGTTAAACTGAAATGTTTTTCGCTATTTATATATCTTGCAACAAGTGAATTTGATAGTCTAGTTGTCCCACTTCTTCGTCGAATGTTACATTTGGAAAAACTTACATTATCTCTTCTTGTTAGTCAACGAACTTCATTCATTGATGGTACTCATCTGGAGAATTCTTTTCTCAGACAAATACCATATTTACATACATTTATCTTCGATTTTGTTACCGAACATGTCAACATTAATGAGCAAATTAAGCCGTCTTTTGATGATATTCGACGTACATTCATTCAAAGAGGATATAATGTTGATGGCTACATTGATTGTAACAGTTATCTTCACAGGATGTGGAATCGATGTCATGTCTATTCGCTTCCGTCCGATATGGAATATATACAGCCCATTTCGCATAGTTTTCCTGGTGGCATGTTCATGAAAGTTGGCGTTCTATGTATGCGGGACGAATATGATTCTTTCGAACACAGTTTCTTTACCAAAATTTCACATTCATTTCCATTACTTCGTCGTCTGATAATCCAGAATAAAGTAGAGCAAAAAGAAAAATCTGAAAAAGTATCGTCAATTATTGAGTTTTCTCATCTCGTCGAACTTAATTGTATTCATGTCCATATTAACTATGTAGAACAATTTCTTTCCGACTTGAATACATGCCTATCTTCTCTCATCAAGCTTCATGTTCGATATGAACATTTAGTAACAATCACTGAGAATTTTAGAAGAAATGCAACACGTATCAACTGTGCAAAATTGAAATCGATCAAATTTGATGATCAAACAACAATGGCACATTCAAAAGACTTTTATCTCTATTTTCCTTTATTGTAGATGATCTTCTCATTAGATCTAGTTATTCGATTTTGTTTAATATATCAATACAAAAACATCAGAATATTTTACATCTTATGAAAATCGACACAATTTTAACCGATTTAAAAAAATCTGCGATTGTTCGTCAGTTTTTTTGGCGATTCTTTGCATATAAGTTTCTTCTAAAAAATATTCTTACGAAAAGATTAACTTGCTTATTGTTCTATTTACACCGATTGTAAAAATAACGAATCGAACTTTATTAAGTCGTTCCACATTTTTAACGACAATAATACCTGCTGGAGATAGAATTCATTTGTGTTTTTCAATAATCCAACCAAATCGAACTGATATTAATGGACAAAGTTCTACATCTACGATTAATAAAAATCGTAGATTATTATTGTGAAACATGATCCGAAAGAAATGTTGAAATGTATAGGGTAGAAATTTTGCACCCACTCCCTCCCCTCGCACAGAGCGTGACAGAGAAAATCCATACCCATCACAGGCCGTGACAGACGTTTGGATACACAATTTACGATATTATGTCACTAGAATCTCATAAAAACATATCAATTGTTTCCTTGTTGCAGTTCTGGAGGATTAAGTGGATAATGAT